ATGAAATGCTTTTGTTTAATGAATATTTTTTTAAACAAAAAAGTGATATAAAATGTATACATTTTATAGATACTCATTTTACAATAAGATATATTGTTCTCTATTCTTTGACTAAAACATTAAGTATAATTTACACAGTATAAAATCTTTAATGAAAGTTACATACAAACAATAAATTTATAGCTTATAGAAGCTACAATTAGAACAGATCAAATAATTTATTAGATTAAAATTTTTTGAGAGACTATATATGTCATCATGAAATTGCTTATATATATATAATATTTGAATTTGTTTTCTGTTTGAATACTTACTTTTATGAATTATAGATTGTGGGCAAATCAAGGATGTGGGAGTTGCATGGAGATAAGAATATGGTAAAAAAGGCCTCTCAAATGTACCCTATGCCCCCTCTTCACACAGCACCTGAGCATACTACTACCTTACACAACCCAGTGTTATTATGTAGACTGAAAGCAGGCTTGAAAAGTTATTGTTGTGTTGAACTCTGTTCCAGTTTTTTTGAATTGGTTTTTTAACCTTAACAAAACTATGGACATGCAAACTAAACACAGTNCCTTTTTAGGCTACGTGGCTGTCCTGGAAAAAGTTCCTTAAAACATAGAAACAACCAATTAAAAAGTAATAATTTTTTAAAAATTGGATTTGATGATCTTTTGATGTCTTGCTTATTTCAGCCTTCTCCGTTTGGGAGTTTCTTTATATCTACTGGAAATTTGCGCTGCTTAATGTAGATTATCCTCTATCCTTTCTCTGGCAGCAAATTATTATTAAATTTTAAGTTTTAAATTTTCGCTGGATGATAATTTAAAAAAAATTTCCAGTAGATATAAAGAAACTCCCGAACGGAGAAGGATGAAATAAGCAAGACGTCGTAAGATCATCAAATCCAATTTTAAAAAAATTATTACTTTTTAATTGGTTGTTTCTATGTTTTAAGGAACTTTTTCCAGGACGGCCACGTAGCCTAAAAAGAAAGGTCAGGTCGTCTGAAGTTTTTACTAAGGAACATTTAAAAGAAATATGATGATCACCCAAGAATTTTTGGAAGCGACTACATCTTAATTTTTAATATAAACAAATTAAATCTTGTTCTTACATGTTTATACTGTACATGTTGGCAATTAAATCCTACAATTGAATTCATTATAAAATCTTATAATGTAATATTTTTGTTCATATTATGTACATGATGCAGCACAAACAATTAGATGATTAAATTTAGTGTTATGCTAACATGTTATTTGGTATGCTAACATGTTACTTGGTATGCTAAACCACACCAATATATAGAAAGGTTGAGTTTCTTCCTTTAGTTCTATGGCTCTTTGATTGAAAACATGAGTGTTTGCTACAGAAGCAGTTTTTAGAAGTAATGATTCCTCTACTGTAACTGTGTTGTGCAACATTTTGACATTAGAAGTAACAATGTACCACCATGCCAAATTTGGTTAAACAGTTTTAGGACTACTGCATCTGCCATAAAAAAAAAGCCTCCTGATTCAGTAGCAGATTCAGAAATATACAGAGGGGAGCTAACTGAAAAATTAAAAATATTTGAATAATTAATAAGTACCTTCTATTAACAACAATTGTGTAGCAGATGGTTGAATAATTTATGAAAATTTACCATTAAAAAATCAGTCTTAAAATATACATCATCTATTTCATCTATAGCTTTAGCTATTAATAAAATTATGATGCTTTGGTAGATTTAAATACAATATATTAATAATTATTTGTAGTCTATTAGAAAGGCTGTGAGTGTAAAATATAATAAAATTATTTAGATGTATTATTTTAAGAAATCAGTTTTTATTTACAGAAAGAAAAATACTGATAAATATGAGCATAGCACCAAATAGATAACAAAAATCTTTAGCAGAATTTTCTTATTAAGTAATATATTTCTGTACAAGTATCCCTTGCATAATGCAGTTTTGCTTAACACAGGATTTGATTAATGTGCAAATTAATTGCATCAATCCCTTTATATATGCAGCAGAAGTTTTAATTAATCCCATAGAATCCCACAATAAGCAACATAAAAAAAAAGAAGTTAAACTAATTTACTTAGTTTTTAAAAAACAAAAAGTGGCTAAAATAACAATTCCAAAACAACAGGACAGCTGACTTCTTTGATGTCTTAGTTTGAACTAGGACATCAAAGCTGTTGTCAATAACCTTGTTCAAGATAGAATAAGGTTATTTATGTGAAGGAGCAGTTTTATTGACTATCCAGCAAAAAAAAATTTTGGAGAGAACACTGAGTTATAAAAAGAGAAACTGAAAAATTTCTGACAGAAATAAAAAACAAGAACTCATGGATAACAGAATATGCATGCAGATTTGAAAAAAAAGGAAAATTATATTATTATATAACTCTGATCATTGTTCAGTTTTATTCTGCTAGTGGGAAAGTGTCAAGAATAAAAGATATAAACTGAAAACAATGAAATGAACTATTGTGGAAAATCTTGGAAATAACTACAGTGGGTGATTGGTTAATGAACATAATCCGTTCCAAGACATTGTTCGCTATCCGAATTGATCATTAATTAATTATCGATTTACTATAGGTTTTAATAAGAATTTAATTAATTCATTTTGGAGACCCTTGAAAATAAAAAAATATATATATATATTTATATATCCTGCTGAAAATTAGATTTAAAACTTATTTTAAAAAGGCTATAAAGCTTTTCGATTTTTTTTCGTTAATCGCTCTTAATTCGAAGAGTCGTTCGATTTATGGAATCGTATTCAATAATGTGTTATCCGTTACTATGGAAACTCCCCACTCTCTCGTTTTGACAAACAAATCGAAGTGGAAGCTTTGCAGTTCACAATTGGTACAGGCTCGGTTTATATAAAACACATTTTCTCCTCAACGCTTTTCGCGCTAAGTTTTTTTAATAAATCGTTTAGCATCTTCCCATGCAATTCGTTCTACTTGTAAAAAGAAAACTCGAAAACATTTTAAAGAACTATAAAAGAAGAAATACAGCGCAGTATCGTATTACTCGCATCGGTCGCGAGGTTACTAATTCAAATTTACGAGTGCAGAAATATTTTTAAAAATGAACGTAAATGGAATTTAAAAAACAGAAGAGGATAACTTACCCGGTTAATTTTCGGTAAGCATTCGAGTATACTGAACATTAACTTAGCATTACCCTCAGGATCGTCCGGTAGGCAAACGCTAAATCCATCTACCAACATGTCGAACAATCCTTTAGTGAAAAGTGGTTCTGGAAGCTCCCTTAAATAGTCTTTGAGTAAACCTGGAATTAGTAAAATTGAAAGCGTCAGTGCAGTTGGTGAAAAGAAGGAAATAAGAAACCTAAAAAAGCTGTCGTCACGAATTGCGTAAGCCTCTATGTACCGTTTCTTAAACAAAGTATGGTGTAAGCTTAGTGTTATTCCCGAGATGGTCCACAGGATGACCTATAATCCAAACTCGTTACACGTAGTTACAAGAAGATTACTGTCGCTTTTCAGACCTTACATTTCTTTCAGTCCTTGGCTTGTAACCACAATCAGTAGTGAAACGGTAAAGGTCAACGACCTGTGTAGAGTTTCGCAGATCGATCTATCTCTATATAAGGACAACTGCCGCTGCTTGTTGAATCGAATGAGCATCGGAAAAGAATGAAAACGCTAACTCGTTGAGATAATTGTTTTAGTCAAATTTTAATGAAGATGGTTCATTAATAACCTCGAGATATTTTGATTTAGATAGGAGAGAGCAAACAGAGAATACTTGTATTATATTACTACTTTAATCGACTAGATACTTTTGCTTTATTCGTCCCTATAAAAATTACTCGTTTCGCCTTAAGACAAGCAGCTACGGTAATGACACGTGACTTGGCTCCAAACGGAACTACCGTGGCTCCGTGGGTAAATACTTAGCTTTAATGCTAATATTTACATTGCACCGTATAAAAATACTTCCAATATTTATCATTGATTGAAAGTATTTCTTGGAAATTTTGAAATAATATTGACAGGCAATGTGCTATTCTGTAATCAAACGCCTTGGAGGAACAGAAAATGTTTGTGTCGAGGACTTGTTACGCAGGCATATTGGTAAATGTGCTTAAATCTAATTATAATCCTATCGATCCTTAAACAATTAGAACGAGTGTAACATATTTAGCTGATCCGGAATAAGTTATCTTCGTCATTGCGAGAATTTTCCTTTTTAAATCTTAAAACAGATTAGAGAAAAACAATGATATTTAGCCTATATTTCTTCGATATTGAGTCTAACAAAATATAATTAGTCATACTTACTTGTAACGACATTGATGTCTGGTACATGTTCCACTGATAAATCAACGTTCTTGGAATTTCTTTCGAACGCCTCTCGCAACATCTTCTTTCTAACATCCGAACCACAGAGTCTATAAATACCAACAATATCGAGTCCTCTCTTCTCCACTTCTTCCACGCACCTCTTGACGATTCGTGGCACAGCATATCCTGAGTTTTCACGAATAACCACAGTTTCTAAGTCTACTCCGAACAGAGCAGTGTCAGACATTACAGGTAAACGTTGGAAAGTCTGCCTCGGATCGCGATAGCGCAACTTTACGTATAAGGTTCCACGTGGTTCCATTTTCAGAGCCAGACTGTGTACCGGTGATTCACGGAGAATAGTTAACAGATGTATTGTACCCTTATAGCAGAGTTTGTGCCGAAATTGAGGATCCCAACTATACAGCAAGAATGATAGTTCCATACTATCTACTATATCTAACTCGAAAACCTCATCCCAATCGAAGCTATGCTCGCCCGTGCGAACTACAGTTCGTGCTTTGTGTACACGATCACATTCAATGACGCAGTACAGATCACGGAAATGATCGCTGTGACTAGTGGGTCGCAAACCTCTTCCAGCAACCAGGTGAATCCACAAGAGACCGCTGAAACCACCGTTCTGTAAAACCGTTTCCGAGTCCTTTTCGGGACGATACTTGACGTAGTCCCTGGGATTTAGTGTTAGAAGTTGTAATTTATCTTCTGATGGTTTAACTGGTGTAGGATTTGGCACTTGACGTATGTATTCAAGTGCTAGTGGCTGTAGTCCACTCTTATCTGTATTTTCAGCTGCTGCCCTGAGAAATGGTCGCCTGGGGTACATCATCAGTGGTTGGATTCCTCTCTGCTCGTCCTGTAACGAAGTTAAAATCGTCATAAAGTGAGCAGATAGGGTTAAGCTAATCCGGTTAGAGAAATAAGATTTCCATTCTCTTAGCCGGATAAACAAAATTTCGCAAAATCCACGTGACTAGTAATGAATACTCGAGCGGCCCGACCGTGTTTGGATAATGATTTCCCATTTCGGAGTTGTCGGTGTAGAGTGTCTGTATTTGCCACACTCATTTATCATTCGTAGAAGGGCTGGAAACACGGTCGGTTTTTCTCTCCTAGACGAAGCTTCCCTTCTATTGCTAATGAATGTTTGACACTCACACTTGAAAAAACGATGAACAAAACTGAAATAATTCTCCCCTTCCGCAATATTGATTTTTTAAGAAATTTTTATATTAAATAAAGGAAATTAATTAATGTGGAAGTTCAAGATTCAAGTATATTAGTTCATGCAAACTTGATTGTTTTGAGAGGAATATAAAAAGGATAGTCTGTAATAGAAGAATAGGATTATCAATCACAGGTAAGATAAAATCAGGTAGGTTAGAAAGGTGAAGTTTTGTAGCAATCCTCTTCAATGCAGTTTATGTGCTGCAGCGTGTGATGTAGTATTGCTTAGTATTTAATATTCTGTCTGTGATCTTTCAATTTTTATACAAAGTTTGAATGCGAAAGTTAACATTTTGTTCCAATTTTGATATTGCAAGGGGTTAAATGTTAACCTCTAAAGTATATTTTTTGGCCAAGAAAAGGATAATTTGAACACTTTATCAAATGTTGTGGAAAATCTGGAAGAATATCTGGAAGTTAACGTTCTCAATTAAGCCAAACGGGCTCTTTGCGTGTCTCGATTACATTATCAATGTCATAACCGTCATTTTTTGGCAAACTTCCTAATAGATCACTACTAGTCGAGAGCATTTAATAGAGGTAATCAATGAATTAATGTCAATATGAAGATCGGGGGATTTGCCAGGCGAGTATGCTTTGCATGTTAAGTTTACACGTCTGATGAAAGTTTTTAGAAATTGTGACCTTCCTCTTTTCAAATGATATGATGAGAATGGGAGACTTACCTGTCTCAGTGTGTCCAACAGACTTTCTGCACTGTGGGCCACCCGAGGTAAAGTTGTATGACGCACTCCTTGGGCTCGTCTCACCTTTTCGTAAATAGCTGATGTGGAAGGTGCACGATTTAGCCAAGCTCTATAATCGGCAGGGCAAGTAACAGGAGGGGATGGACCCCGTCGTCCTGTGCCAAAGATACATTAAAGGTAGGTTTTTTGCTGTTTTGTTCGCTATAAAATTTTGGGGATGCCATTCGCAATATATCTTTTCTGGCAGGATACAGGAATAGGAACATGGCAGAGGATTGGTTTTTAAATGAAACAGTTGGGGGAAAGGGAGGTAGACAGTAAATGAAAGAGAACAAACAAGGAGAATGCAGACAGAAGAACAAGCAATTGTGTTGTAAGCAAAGCGACATACTAAAAAATTAATGAAGATGTTCTTGGATTTTCCAAGTGAATCACTACTACAAAATTAATAACGTCTTCTACATAATTTTTGTAGCGGAGCATTTTTTCTTCTCAAGGACACCTATTGTTAACGTTTTGCAACCGAACATTCAAAAACTGAATAAAAAATTTATTAAAAGTACGGAAAATTCAACAATAGTAGTTTAATCTTTAAGAAAACTACCTCCAGCGACCATCTTAACTTTCGGAATTTAAAACAACTTCAATATAAAATAAAATTTATTATCATAATAATTAAAATTTTCGTTTTATTTCGTGAACAAACTCGACATCTGTTAGAAGTTTTTGGAAGATCGATCTACAAACAACTTAGTTATGAAAATTTACTATGTCTGAATTAAGTGAATTATTAGCTGCAATTATGCAATGAATGCATAATGAGCATCAGTCTCGTGTTTCCTAAACTTTTAACGCGGGACTAATAACACAAATGTACTCTAGAGATGGTCACATCATAAAAACCTTTGCCTGAAGCAGGAGGAACGTAGATATCTCCAACCAGTTCTACTAATAGGATCGATGAGTACCGAGCGGAATGACTTGTGGAAGTGCAGTAGACTTATCAATAGTGCTACCTCTTTTGTAATAAGTTACTCGAAGCTTTATGCGTAGAAAAAGTCTACCGAAACAAACTACGAAAGCTAGGATCCTCAGTCAACTTCCTGTCAGTTGGAATTAAAAGATAATTGGTACACTTCTTCTTTTAGTGGTTTATATATACATATATTGTTTCTGTTTAATTTTTGATTTGAAAAAATTAAATTGAATAATAAGATAAAAACTCTTGTGCTTTAAGCTGCCGAAATTGCGGAAAACTCCGCTCATTGTATAGAATTTGGTTATCGATCTTCTGGTTGAGAGACACGATTTTGGTTGTCCCTCGATCAATCTCGTATCGATCCAATTAAAGAGATATTGGAAAATCCTGCGAAATTAATTTTAAAATCAATGGAGGATTATCTGAAATTATATTTCAAAATAAATCCATCCGTTTTTAAATCCGAATTTTAATTAAAACAATAAAAAAATAAATTAAAAAATAGTCGTTTCAAATAGAGAATTTATTTTGGCAAGATAATAACGAGTAATTTAATCGAAAACAAGAAACTCAGCAGGCATTAACTGCCAGCAGTTTTATCTTAATTAATTAGCAGATGCAACTTTCTCTCATAAACACGCCAATGTAACTGTTAAAAAAGGAGAGTGAATTACCAAGATGAATTGTTAATTATTGTAGAGCATCAATTAGTATCAAAAGAAAAACGAAATCGGATGTGACTTTTCTCTGTACGGTTGCTATTGTTTCTCGAAAATGCAATAGGCGAGAATCTAATGAATTCGCCAAAGCTTCGGTTGTTATGAAGGGAGAGACTTAATCCATGCAAAACTACCTGGCAAGGGCAGGATGTAGAGGATAGTGAGGATGACAAGCATGGTGTAGCTATGCATAAGGAAAGAAGGTAAAGAAATGCGATACCCGTTCAAAACTCACGTTATTACTTTCTACTATGAATATGTAAATATTGACTCACCAATTCCTCTCCTGTCCGGTTTGGTTGCTGGAAGCTCTGGTGCAGAGAGAGCGCCGTCACTATCATCCTGAGAATCATAAGGCAGTAGGTGTTTTTCGAATCGCACAGCTTGTTGAGGACGACGATAAATTTGGTCTGTAGTGCGTACACGTGGCAGTGAATTGCTTCGAAGTTGTCCGTAGCCTCTGGGTATGATTGGCATACCGAACTGTTGTTGTTGATGTGGTATAGTTTGAGACTGGCGAGTCATAACGTCTCGAACCGGTCCCGATTGGACTTCGGTATCCGAAGCACTGTCTTGAGGTATTCTTCTACGCAAAGCAGCCATGGATTGTGACAACTCGTCGTAACGTCTCAATCGACCTCTCGGTTGCATAGTTGCCGACACACCTACGTTATGACGTATACCGAATGAAGAATATTTATCGTAATTATCGTGAGCGACTGTCGAAATCCTTTGTTCACTTTCTGTGCGCAATAAACGTGTAGTTCTGCCCAGAGTTGCAGTTTGTTCGTCCCAGTAGACATTCCTACGATCGAGTCTCGGAAACTGTATGTGTGTGTGCGAAGAAGGAAACATAGATCTGCGCCCTTCCTGTGGAGGCATCGCGTGAAAAGTGTGAATCTGCTCTGCCAGTGATTCTAATGTCTTAGGGTATTTCTGCTGGCTAAACGGCTGTCGTGTAATTATTCGGGATTCCGCAGTCCTAGGCCATGTTCTCTCATCCCCTGCTCTTATATCTTCCACCAATTTGGGCACACGCCCACCTGCGGGCATTGCCGCAGGTTGGGAGTTATAATAGAGCATTCTGTCGTCCGAATGACGTGGTTCTAAAGTGATGCACATCGGTGACATATCACTCGGCAATCCTTTGACTCTAGCTCTCAACAGCATACCATTCTCATGATTATTCCCATAATCATCCATTGTATCTTCTTCCATTCCTTTCTTCACTACGACTATGGGAGGTCGTGCTTCTTCATCGCGTTGTTTGGCAAGTTTAGTGATAGGTTTTCCACCGCATATCCTCGATCTGATAGTCAGCACCAATCTTCTGGGTATGGACATGATGATGACCACGTCGTCCAAACTGACGTGTCTGACGTCCACCAGATTTACCGCCAAAATCTCATCTCCAACTTTCAATAAACCGCTATTGTAAACGGCGCTCTCCAAAGCGATTCTCGAAATGAAGACCCCTTCTTCGCTCGTCTCCCCTTCTCTAATGTAAAGTCCCAAAGTTTGTCCTGGTCTTTTTATAATTTCTACGAATTGTACCACGTGGATGCTGTCGGCATTTCTTACGTAGTTCCGACAGGCCTCCACCCCTGCTTTGCCCAATGTGTTGGGATCTAGTAGACGAATGATCATATCGCCGCGTTTCTCTACAGTTTCTAAATTGGCCGCTGTTGTGGGATCGTATTGATTCTCTATTGCTTCTATCTGTCGAAATATCTCTGTCGTTATCCCGCTCACCTTACGAAAATCGCTCTGGATAACCATTTCTGGTACTTGGCCGTGTTGAATTTTCGGACGGGAAGGACCAGCCCTTCGACTGGTCTCTTCCGAAACTTGATAATCTGTTGCCTCTCTTGTTTCCTGCAACAAAAATAAAATAATTGGTTTCTGTTTACTTTTCCATTAAAAAAGAACAACAGTATTTTCACTTCGTATTCATACTATNTCTTCATATAAAAGAGGTTCCCTATCAGCTTCAAGTAGATCAAGCACATCACGTTCGTTCAAACCTTCAAAGCCGAGATCATGTGCTAGATCCAAAATGTTTTGCCTGATTTCAGGAAGGAAATTAACTTCTGCATCAGTACTTTTTACACATTCTGGCCATATTTTTTTCCAAACATGGTTCATTGTTGTTAATTTTAATTCCTTCCATGATTTACTGATGCTGTCAACAGCATCCTTGATGTTATAAATATGTACATAAAACACTCACAGACAAGTCTAAACCAGCCGCTTTATGAGCACACACTGAATAATGCTCGTAAACAAGAGAAAATAGAAAAGTGTGTGCATCGAGATTGCGCTTGCCCAAGATTGGCAACATGTAGATATATCGACATCGAAAAAAGTTTTTTTTTGCCGTTATAGCGAAACATTTTAGGCCGTAAATCGAAAACGTGCCTTAATTGAAGAGGGCCGTTATAGCGAAATGCCGTATAAAGAGCGGCCGTATAGCGAGGTATGGGTGTAATTGCCTTTTACCAAATTCATCTTTATTGTGTTATCTTTACATAATAAGTCCTTTGAGCATTTTATATGTTTTAGTGTTACTAAACATAAATTATTTTGGTAAACAACTGAATAATCTTTGTTAGTTTATTATTATAGAGAATAATTTGATAATGTATTGTTATAGAAATTATAAAAATGTTTAAAATGTAGTATTTATTGTAGTTTATATCATTCTTGGAACTAAACTAGAAAATTAGAACTAAAAGACAATTTTAAAACAGATGATTTTTCAATTTAAGAACTAGTATTTTAAATTATTAAATAATAAAATGTAAAAAAAATATACAAAACTGTAGGCAACAAAGTTTCGGATACTGATCAATAAAATAATAAAATGAGCATAAAATGAAGTCGTAAAATTATATAGCTAGTTTTTGTTACTGATTCTTTGAAATATTCTTTCTGGTATTTTGCTAATCATTTCAGATGCCAAATATCTCTCTATTAACAGTTTGATAATATTTATAAATCATCATATCATAAATTCTGTGCTAATAAAACTAGTAAAGTTTACTTTTTTCTATTTATAATTATCTTTCTGTCCCATTCTTTATTCATCTATTTCAGGAGATTTTATTGGACTTCAGTTATTGGTAATCACATGTGAGTTTTCCTAATTTTTCTTCTTAAAATTTGATTGAGTTTAATTCTTTTTAATTAATTAAAGACAGTACCAAAGATTTTAGGGAATTGAATTATTCAATCAATATTTCTAACATTATTTTTAATAAAATTGAAATAAATTTGAAAAAGGAACACATGTTGCTACATCTTTGTTAGAATACGTTTTGTCATGTAAAAAAATCAAAATAAGTTTAGTTCATAATGGTGATTTTTTTTTACTAATAACAATTAGATTTAAATTGATAACTTTTGATTAAAATAAAATTATTAAAACATAATCAGGATCTGAATCATGTCTGTAGAATAATATTCCACTGCAGTCATTATTTTACCAATTATCCAGTATTTTGTCAACAGCATTAGCTTTAATTATTATTATTACTGGCCATCTGCAATATGTCCAATATTTGAACTTGTCCATTCTTTCAGTAAGTTTTGTAACAGTTTTTAGCTGTTTTATTTACATAATTGAAGTGTTGTGTTATTAGTTTTCCCATAATCTGTATTTAAATATTTGCATATGTTTGCTTATTATAGTATTTTTTATAACAATTAAGAAATAAAGACATTAATTGACATTTAAACCTTTTGTAAATATTTAAATTTTAAAAGATTATTATTAAATCATTACATCGTTGGCAGAAATTTTGTGTAAATTTATATGTTCTTGTTAAAATATTTAATTGTGTTATGACTTATAAATTTATATTTAATATTTCAGAGATTACATGGACCGATTCCTGGATGAACAAGAGAATCCATCCACACACAGAGACCGCTCATCCAGTCCAAGCATGCATTCCTTAATGTTTGGTGACAGTAAGAAACAACAATGTGTGCGTTCATCTACCTCAAGCCCAACTGTTAACCATTCAAAACTCGATACATTTACAGATATTAATTCACAAGGCGAATCGCTACATCCCACAGAAGCGGTTCCCTTCATTAGTGATATAGGATACTCTCTCATCGATAGAGATGCGCGTATGAGATCTATAGATGGCAGAAATTATCCCGAATCTAGAGAAACTGTACAAGATTCTAGTAGGGAATTTGTGAACGGTGCATCAAATATGATGGACAATGATAAGACGCATGATTTACAAAACATTCATCACGTAGAATCATTGACAAATGTCGACAAAAACTCTTCATGCAATCCTCCTACAGACATCGTCAATTGCACGCATCATCCGACAGAAGTATCTAGATACAGAGAATCGAGATCGGACAATCAAAGGTTTGAATCGTTACGTGAAGAAGTAGCCTCTATGGAATGAATCGTAGCTTTAAACAAAGAACATAAATGTACATTCTAGTGATTTTATATAACAAACAGATTAGAAGACATGGCAACGAAACCTGTTATGCTGTTAATAAAAAATACCAGTAAGTGTTTGGATGGACTATCAGAGAAGAAAAAACATTCAATCAGAAAATCATGTATTCATTTCAATTTTTATCACTCATGCTCATCTGGTATCCAGATGTTTCCCCCTTTTAATTTTCACCTCATACTAATGCTATGTCAACAATTCATTGTGAAATTTACATGTAATTTACTTTGTCTTAACATAATTGCACACAATTAACAATGAGTTTTTATTGTTACCATTATGAAATGTAAGTAAATTGATCATGTATTTAGTCACATTGATTTAGAAATATGCCTTTACCAATTTATCTAATATCAGTGACATTTATATTTTTAATTGGTTGAGTAATCGGTCATTTATCAATGTATTATTAATTGCATTTATCATTTTTCTCGGATATTTTTAAGAATTTTTGTTTGTACAGTCGATATAAATCTGTCTGCGCACATTTCACACTGTATTTTTAAAGGACTTTGTAAATCCATCCACATGTACAACATATTCTCATTTTCATTGTCATCAAAAAATTTAGTTTAGAAAGGTCCATTTTCATTTATGTTGTTCATATTATGTATTCTTAGAATCCTATGTTATATCTCGACCTAGAACAGATAAAATGAAGAAATAAAAATTGCTGGGCTGTTGTTAAAGTACTTTTGTTTTATTCTGGATTTTAAAAACTATCTTCTGAAGTAAAAGTTGAATATCAAAAAATTAAATTAGCCAAATTTTAATTTTTACACATACACTATATTAGTTTAATTAATGTAGTGTGCATCTAACAATAACTAAAATAATTAAATCGTTGAAAGAAAATTATTACATAATTTAGTATTTTTGTTTTTTGATTAAATCTGAATAATGAATATTCAAAATATTTCAGTGTAAATATAATAATATTTGGTTTAAATCTTATCATATTACTTCAATATTACTGAAACGACCGGCAATGTAAAAATTGTTATAGAAGAAAATAAGGTGAAGGGATTTACTGAAAAGATCATTTTTCAAATATTTCAATCCAAATCAAAAATGACATCTCATTTTACAAAACTATTCTGTCAATATTTAAAACTTTTAAATATATATATTTAAATCCTGATGTGGAGAGAATTTCTTCCGTTCTTGTTTTACCAGATTAAGAAATATACGAAATTTCATTCATTTTCTATTTGTATGGTAAAACTATTTTTAACTTTACGAATTTATTCTCGAATCTGTAATGTGCAATCTTCACATTTTTGTCAGTGTAGGTATATTACGTTTATACAATGACAAATATATTTTCTTAATCTCACTCAGATTGACCGAAATATTGTAAAAGAATATCATCAAACCAAATTCAACATACGGGTAATTTTAATTGTGTATATCAAACAAGTTACACTTCATAATGGAAAACAGGATTAAGAAAAATTTAGATATATATGTATATATATACCTCAAAGACAATATCTGTGGGAATCCAAAAACGGAAACTCCTGACGTGTAAAAAGTAAAAAACAAATATTTAAAAACAGAAAATACAGTCTAAATCACGTAGACATCGAGAGCCAACTCTGTAGAATAGCACCTTTTCCATACTTTCAACCTTTTTATTTTTTTGTTTTTTAACAGGAAGATTCGGGTAAGGATCGTTGGCCTATCCACGTCACCGATTTTTTTAACGTGTTGTTACTATTGGTAGGCTGGTTTTCTGCAGTAGTAGTAGTTGGCGGTGTTGCCTCCGACTGTTCCGTGTTACTAGAACCACTACTGTCGCTTCCAAGAACGCACCAGTCGTTATCTGTAGGCCAAGATAATGGGAAAAAAGGCGTTAATTTTATCTTAAATAAAAACGGAGAAAGAGAAACGATCCGTCATAAATTTGGAGCTGAAAATATGGACGAATAATGTAGTGACTTTTTTAAAGTATTTAACTGGTCAAAAAAGTTAAATACCTCTCTTTGTCGGCCAAATTTCCAATAAATATCTGAATACATCAATGGGTTGCTTTAACTCGGCTACAGGAGTACCGGTTTCTGTATGACACATTACTATTGGACCAAAACACACAGCTAAATTTTGGGAAGTCATTTTATTCCTGTCACTATGACACGTTATTAATTTTAAATGGTGCAGAAGGAACAACACAGTGAACTGAAAGGAAAAAATATATATATATATTTATATATCCTGCTGAAAATTAGATTTAAAACTTATTTTAAAAAGGCTATAAAGCTTTTCGATTTTTTTTCGTTAATCGCTCTTAATTCGAAGAGTCGTTCGATTTATGGAATCGTATTCAATAATGTGTTATCCGTTACTATGGAAACTCCCCACTCTCTCGTTTTGACAAACAAATCGAAGTGGAAGCTTTGCAGTTCACAATTGGTACAGGCTCGGTTTATATAAAACACATTTTCTCCTCAACGCTTTTCGCGCTAAGTTTTTTTAATAAATCGTTTAGCATCTTCCCATGCAATTCGTTCTACTTGTAAAAAGAAAACTCGAAAACATTTTAAAGAACTATAAAAGAAGAAATACAGCGCAGTATCGTATTACTCGCATCGGTCGCGAGGTTACTAATTCAAATTTACGAGTGCAGAAATATTTTTAAAAATGAACGTAAATGGAATTTAAAAAACAGAAGAGGATAACTTACCCGGTTAATTTTCGGTAAGCATTCGAGTATACTGAACATTAACTTAGCATTACCCTCAGGATCGTCCGGTAGGCAAACGCTAAATCCATCTACCAACATGTCGAACAATCCTTTAGTGAAAAGTGGTTCTGGAAGCTCCCTTAAATAGTCTTTGAGTAAACCTGGAATTAGTAAAATTGAAAGCGTCAGTGCAGTTGGTGAAAAGAAGGAAATAAGAAACCTAAAAAAGCTGTCGTCACGAATTGCGTAAGCCTCTATGTACCGTTTCTTAAACAAAGCATGGTGTAAGCTTAGTGTTATTCCCGAGATGGTCCACAGGATGACCTATAATCCAAACTCGTTACACGTAGTTACAAGAAGATTACTGTCGCTTTTCAGACCTTACATTTCTTTCAGTCCTTGGCTTGTAACCACAATCAGTAGTGAAACGGTAAAGGTCAACGACCTGTGTAGAGTTTCGCAGATCGATCTATCTCTATATAAGGACAACTGCCGCTGCTTGTTGAATCGAATGAGCATCGGAAAAGAATGAAAACGCTAACTCGTTGAGATAATTGTTTTAGTCAAATTTTAATGAAGATGGTTCATTAATAACCTCGAGATATTTTGATTTAGATAGGAGAGAGCAAACAGAGAATACTTGTATTATATTACTACTTTAATCGACTAGATACTTTTGCTTTATTCGTCCCTATAAAAATTACTCGTTTCGCCTTAAGACAAGCAGCTACGGTAATGACACGTGACTTGGCTCCAAACGGAACTACCGTGGCTCCGTGGGTAAATACTTAGCTTTAATGCTAATATTTACATTGCACCGTATAAAAATACTTCCAATATTTATCATTGATTGAAAGTATTTCTTGGAAATTTTGAAATAATATTGACAGGCAATGTGCTATTCTGTAATCAAACGCCTTGGAGGAACAGAAAATGTTTGTGTCGAGGACTTGTTACGCAGGCATATTGGTAAATGTGCTTAAATCTAATTATAATCCTATCGATCCTTAAACAATTAGAACGAGTGTAACATATTTAGCTGATCCGGAATAAGTTATCTTCGTCATTGCGAGAATTTTCCTTTTTAAATCTTAAAACAGATTAGAAAAAAACAATGATATTTAGCCTATATTTCTTCGATATTGAGTCTAACAAAATATAATTAGTCATACTTACTTGTAACGACATTGATGTCTGGTACATGTTCCACTGATAAATCAACGTTCTTGGAATTTCTTTCGAACGCCTCTCGCAACATCTTCTTTCTAACATCCGAACCACAGAGTCTATAAATACCAACAATATCGAGTCCTCTCTTCTCCACTTCTTCCACGCACCTCTTGACGATTCGTGGCACAGCATATCCTGAGTTTTCACGAATAACCACAGTTTCTAAGTCTACTCCGAACAGAGCAGTGTCAGACATTACAGGTAAACGTTGGAAAGTCTGCCTCGGATCGCGATAGCGCAACTTTACGTATAAGGTTCCACGTGGTTCCATTTTCAGAGCCAGACTGTGTACCGGTGATTCACGGAGAATAGTTAACAGATGTATTGTACCCTTATAGCAGAGTTTGTGCCGAAATTGAGGATCCCAACTATACAGCAAGAATGATAGTTCCATACTATCTACTATATCTAACTCGAAAACCTCATCCCAATCGAAGCTATGCTCGCCCGTGCGAACTACAGTTCGTGCTTTGTGTACACGATCACATTCAATGACGCAGTACAGATCACGGAAATGATCGCTGTGACTAGTGGGTCGCAAACCTCTTCCAGCAACCAGGTGAATCCACAAGAGACCGCTGAAACCACCGTTCTGTAAAACCGTTTCCGAGTCCTTTTCGGGACGATACTTGACGTAGTCCCTGGGATTTAGTGTTAGAAGTTGTAATTTATCTTCTGATGGTTTAACTGGTGTAGGATTTGGCACTTGACGTATGTATTCAAGTGCTAGTGGCTGTAGTCCACTCTTATCTGTATTTTCAGCTGCTGCCCTGAGAAATGGTCGCCTGGGGTACATCATCAGTGGTTGGATTCCTCTCTGCTCGTCCTGTAACGAAGTTAAAATCGTCATAAAGTGAGCAGATAGGGTTAAGCTAATCCGGTTAGAGAAATAAGATTTCCATTCTCTTAGCCGGATAAACAAAATTTCGCAAAATCCACGTGACTAGTAATGAATACTCGAGCGGCCCGACCGTGTTTGGATAATGATTTCCCATTTCGGAGTTGTCGGTGTAGAGTGTCTGTATTTGCCACACTCATTTATCATTCGTAGAAGGGCTGGAAACACGGTCGGTTTTTCTCTCCTAGACGAAGCTTCCCTTCTATTGCTAATGAATGTTTGACACTCACACTTGAAAAAACGATGAACAAAACTGAAATAATTCTCCCCTTCCGCAATATTGATTTTTTAAGAAATTTTTATATTAAATAAAGGAAATTAATTAATGTGGAAGTTCAAGATTCAAGTATATTAGTTCATGCAAACTTGATTGTTTTGAGAGGAATATAAAAAGGATAGTCTGTAATAGAAGAATAGGATTATCAATCACAGGTAAGATAAAATCAGGTAGGTTAGAAAGGTGAAGTTTTGTAGCAATCCTCTTCAATGCAGTTTATGTGCTGCAGCGTGTGATGTAGTATTGCTTAGTATTTAATATTCTGTCTGTGATCTTTCAATTTTTATACAAAGTTTGAATGCGAAAGTTAACATTTTGTTCCAATTTTGATATTGCAAGGGGTTAAATGTTAACCTCTAAAGTATATTTTTTGGCCAAGAAAAGGATAATTTGAACACTTTATCAAATGTTGTGGAAAATCTGGAAGAATATCTGGAAGTTAACGTTCTCAATTAAGCCAAACGGGCTCTTTGCGTGTCTCGATTACATTATCAATGTCATAACCGTCATTTTTTGGCAAACTTCCTAATAGATCACTACTAGTCGAGAGCATTTAATAGAGGTAATCAATGAATTAATGTCAATATGAAGATCGGGGGATTTGCCAGGCGAGTATGCTTTGCATGTTAAGTTTACACGTCTGATGAAAGTTTTTAGAAATTGTGACCTTCCTCTTTTCAAATGATATGATGAGAATGGGAGACTTACCTGTCTCAGTGTGTCCAACAGACTTTCTGCACTGTGGGCCACCCGAGGTAAAGTTGTATGACGCACTCCTTGGGCTCGTCTCACCTTTTCGTAAATAGCTGATGTGGAAGGTGCACGATTTAGCCAAGCTCTATAATCGGCAGGGCAAGTAACAGGAGGGGATGGACCCCGTCGTCCTGTGCCAAAGATACATTAAAGGTAGGTTTTTTGCTGTTTTGTTCGCTATAAAATTTTGGGGATGCCATTCGCAATATATCTTTTCTGGCAGGATACAGGAATAGGAACATGGCAGAGGATTGGTTTTTAAATGAAACAGTTGGGGGAAAGGGAGGTAGACAGTAAATGAAAGAGAACAAACAAGGAGAATGCAGACAGAAGAACAAGCAATTGTGTTGTAAGCAAAGCGACATACTAAAAAATTAATGAAGATGTTCTTGGATTTTCCAAGTGAATCACTACTACAAAATTAATAACGTCTTCTACATAATTTTTGTAGCGGAGCATTTTTTCTTCTCAAGGACACCTATTGTTAACGTTTTGCAACCGAACATTCAAAAACTGAATAAAAAATTTATTAAAAGTACGGAAAATTCAACAATAGTAGTTTAATCTTTAAGAAAACTACCTCCAGCGACCATCTTAACTTTCGGAATTTAAAACAACTTCAATATAAAATAAAATTTATTATCATAATAATTAAAATTTTCGTTTTATTTCGTGAACAAACTCGACATCTGTTAGAAGTTTTTGGAAGATCGATCTACAAACAACTTAGTTATGAAAATTTACTATGTCTGAATTAAGTGAATTATTAGCTGCAATTATGCAATGAATGCATAATGAGCATCAGTCTCGTGTTTCCTAAACTTTTAACGCGGGACTAATAACACAAATGTACTCTAGAGATGGTCACATCATAAAAACCTTTGCCTGAAGCAGGAGGAACGTAGATATCTCCAACCAGTTCTACTAATAGGATCGATGAGTACCGAGCGGAATGACTTGTGGAAGTGCAGTAGACTTATCAATAGTGCTACCTCTTTTGTAATAAGTTACTCGAAGCTTTATGCGTAGAAAAAGTCTACCGAAACAAACTACGAAAGCTAGGATCCTCAGTCAACTTCCTGTCAGTTGGAATTAAAAGATAATTGGTACACTTCTTCTTTTAGTGGTTTATATATACATATATTGTTTCTGTTTAATTTTTGATTTGAAAAAATTAAATTGAATAATAAGATAAAAACTCTTGTGCTTTAAGCTGCCGAAATTGCGGAAAACTCCGCTCATTGTATAGAATTTGGTTATCGATCTTCTGGTTGAGAGACACGATTTTGGTTGTCCCTCGATCAATCTCGTATCGATCCAATTAAAGAGATATTGGAAAATCCTGCGAAATTAATTTTAAAATCAATGGAGGATTATCTGAAATTATATTTCAAAATAAATCCATCCGTTTTTAAATCCGAATTTTAATTAAAACAATAAAAAAATAAATTAAAAAATAGTCGTTTCAAATAGAGAATTTATTTTGGCAAGATAATAACGAGTAATTTAATCGAAAACAAGAAACTCAGCAGGCATTAACTGCCAGCAGTTTTATCTTAATTAATTAGCAGATGCAACTTTCTCTCATAAACACGCCAATGTAACTGTTAAAAAAGGAGAGTGAATTACCAAGATGAATTGTTAATTATTGTAGAGCATCAATTAGTATCAAAAGAAAAACGAAATCGGATGTGACTTTTCTCTGTACGGTTGCTATTGTTTCTCGAAAATGCAATAGGCGAGAATCTAATGAATTCGCCAAAGCTTCGGTTGTTATGAAGGGAGAGACTTAATCCATGCAAAACTACCTGGCAAGGGCAGGATGTAGAGGATAGTGAGGATGACAAGCATGGTGTAGCTATGCATAAGGAAAGAAGGTAAAGAAATGCGATACCCGTTCAAAACTCACGTTATTACTTTCTACTATGAATATGTAAATATTGACTCACCAATTCCTCTCCTGTCCGGTTTGGTTGCTGGAAGCTCTGGTGCAGAGAGAGCGCCGTCACTATCATCCTGAGAATCATAAGGCAGTAGGTGTTTTTCGAATCGCACAGCTTGTTGAGGACGACGATAAATTTGGTCTGTAGTGCGTACACGTGGCAGTGAATTGCTTCGAAGTTGTCCGTAGCCTCTGGGTATGATTGGCATACCGAACTGTTGTTGTTGATGTGGTATAGTTTGAGACTGGCGAGTCATAACGTCTCGAACCGGTCCCGATTGGACTTCGGTATCCGAAGCACTGTCTTGAGGTATTCTTCTACGCAAAGCAGCCATGGATTGTGACAACTCGTCGTAACGTCTCAATCGACCTCTCGGTTGCATAGTTGCCGACACACCTACGTTATGACGTATACCGAATGAAGAATATTTATCGTAATTATCGTGAGCGACTGTCGAAATCCTTTGTTCACTTTCTGTGCGCAATAAACGTGTAGTTCTGCCCAGAGTTGCAGTTTGTTCGTCCCAGTAGACATTCCTACGATCGAGTCTCGGAAACTGTATGTGTGTGTGCGAAGAAGGAAACATAGATCTGCGCCCTTCCTGTGGAGGCATCGCGTGAAAAGTGTGAATCTGCTCTGCCAGTGATTCTAATGTCTTAGGGTATTTCTGCTGGCTAAACGGCTGTCGTGTAATTATTCGGGATTCCGCAGTCCTAGGCCATGTTCTCTCATCCCCTGCTCTTATATCTTCCACCAATTTGGGCACACGCCCACCTGCGGGCATTGCCGCAGGTTGGGAGTTATAATAGAGCATTCTGTCGTCCGAATGACGTGGTTCTAAAGTGATGCACATCGGTGACATATCACTCGGCAATCCTTTGACTCTAGCTCTCAACAGCATACCATTCTCATGATTATTCCCATAATCATCCATTGTATCTTCTTCCATTCCTTTCTTCACTACGACTATGGGAGGTCGTGCTTCTTCATCGCGTTGTTTGGCAAGTTTAGTGATAGGTTTTCCACCGCATATCCTCGATCTGATAGTCAGCACCAATCTTCTGGGTATGGACATGATGATGACCACGTCGTCCAAACTGACGTGTCTGACGTCCACCAGATTTACCGCCAAAATCTCATCTCCAACTTTCAATAAACCGCTATTGTAAACGGCGCTCTCCAAAGCGATTCTCGAAATGAAGACCCCTTCTTCGCTCGTCTCCCCTTCTCTAATGTAAAGTCCCAAAGTTTGTCCTGGTCTTTTTATAATTTCTACGAATTGTACCACGTGGATGCTGTCGGCATTTCTTACGTAGTTCCGACAGGCCTCCACCCCTGCTTTGCCCAATGTGTTGGGATCTAGTAGACGAATGATCATATCGCCGCGTTTCTCTACAGTTTCTAAATTGGCCGCTGTTGTGGGATCGTATTGATTCTCTATTGCTTCTATCTGTCGAAATATCTCTGTCGTTATCCCGCTCACCTTACGAAAATCGCTCTGGATAACCATTTCTGGTACTTGGCCGTGTTGAATTTTCGGACGGGAAGGACCAGCCCTTCGACTGGTCTCTTCCGAAACTTGATAATCTGTTGCCTCTCTTGTTTCCTGCAACAAAAATAAAATAATTGGTTTCTGTTTACTTTTCCATTAAAAAAGAACAACAGTATTTTCACTTCGTATTCATACTATCGTGATATCTTACAAACTAACTTTTACTTTTAAATTTGCATATCAATAGGTCATTCTAGTTACTTTCACATTTGGCCAAAAACTAAATGGGATGAAGTCACGTTATAATAACAATCTCGATTGTAAGGCAACTTAACCAATTTACCTCAGGAAAGTTAAAATTCTATTATAGCCTATCTCCACTAGTAACATTTTTTATCTGTACAACTTCCACTCTTTATGATCTCATTTTTAATTCCAAACAATTCTTTCGAAATTATTACTTTATTTTCGTCATAAAAACTATAAATAGATAAGCTTTTTTTCTTTTTAACGTTGTTTTTTGCCATAAATCTCTTTGTGGTAACAAACAATATCACGATTCCTTATATTACTTCGACCCTATGTTATTCTGCTATCATATCTATCTATACCTGTTATTACATACAAGATGAAATATATCATTGTTGTTTCCTCTAAATTCAATGACTTTAACTCAATTGAATTGGTTATTTCTTCGTCAAAATCATCGATAAACGTTACTTGAAAAAAATGTAATTTCTATGTGTATTCCTTTTCTTCTCTCCGTTATAAAATTATCGAAGAAAACAAAATTAAAAAAAAACAAAATAGACAAATCAATAAAATAATATCTTAATTATCGAAAAGAATTTTCAAAATCAGTAATCGGTTAGTGGCATACGCTTTCAGAATGTCATTTTTTAACCTTATAATTATCGGCTTCATTATTTAATGAATTGTAAAATTCCAAATTTACCATTTTATGAAGTGTAATAAATTTATTTACTCGATTTTATTTTTATGAAGTCTGCTGTTTACAAGAGTAACTTTAAATGAGCGGGAAAACATTCCAGTTTAGTGTCATATTTTATTCGATAGTGTAAAAAGAAGATACTCCTGGGAGCGTGAAAAACGGCAAAATGTGATAAGCACGGACAAGGAATAAATGGTTTTTGAATGGATGGAAGTTAAAAAGTTTTTACTTGACCTTTCTTTGGTATCACTATTCTTAAGAAAGATGTATTGATAAAAATTCTCCCTTCTGTATTTTTAAATTAACACACAAAAAACATCCATGTTGAAAAAGCAAAATATAATTTAGCAATCATTTTTAAATTGAAGCATTCACTTTTTAATTTCTATCCATTGAAAACCAATTATTCTTCACCTTAATTTTTCCATAAATATTCTGTTTATCGCTTTTAAAGAAAAAAAAAATATATANACAAAAATTTTTGGGAAAACATTTTATTGCCAAAAATTTTAATTTTTTATAAAATTGAGAAAAATAAAAATATCCCTGTGAAGAAGCCAGTCAAAAAGAGTCACAAAATTAACAGGTTTCTCTGCAAATACGTAGATTTCTGTAAGATTTCTACAGAAGTTTCTGCAATATTACGATTATTCATAAATTGTTCTTCAAATTATAAAGAATTTAGAATCTTGTATTCAAAATAAAATTACTACTTGCATTTATAAAAAAATTATACATGCTAATTATAAAAAATCAACATAACAATAGCTTTATAACGAAAATATGTATAAATTTTAAAAAATCAAACATCCACATCTGATAATCTGTAATCGAAATACACCACAGAATTAAAAAGAATATTTTGTGAATCATAATAATAAGCACTTCTGTGTTCACAACAACCGGAAATCTCACAATTACGAACCTATTATCTGCTGGTTATTAGCTAAACAAGTCACACGATAATTCCACTAATTATAAAATTATTCGTCGTGTATTTAACTAGAAATTAATTATAATTAATCGAAGTTTTGTTCTTCTAGCGTGTTAATTTAATTTTTTCCATTCATATATAAATCGAAAACAACATCGGCAGTCCCTTTTTTATAGCAGGAGGAATCATGAATCGAATCCAGTTAGAAATTTCAACATATTATTAATATTTTTCACTTCATTTCACCCATTTTGATGAATCTAGCTGTAGAAAATAAAATACAAAATAAAGCAAAATATCCAGCCTTAATAAGCTGAAAATCTCAGTAATTTGTATCTAATCCAATTATTTAAAAAAAAAATAAACGTACGAAGTAAGAATTTTAATAATAGATTATTCATCAAAAGTCTTATCAAAATTTTGGACGAGGAACTTGCAAATAAGGTAAAAAACATATAAAGTATTTTTGATTATTTTGATGTTGTTTAAGTGAATAATGAATAATTCATCTACTAAAATATTTTCCTTTTAAATCTTGCAAAAATTCAATTTTTTAAAACTAATAATTGAGAAAAGTATTAAAACAATTTTACTATTTAAATTTTAATATGTTTACTTAAAATCAAATTATCAAAATTTTCAATTAACTGAATTATTCAAGTTTAAATTGATATGCGCAAAATAAGATTATTCATTTTAATATTTATTATTAATTTATACAAATAAACAATTTAGGAAAGACAAATGATTGAGAACGTTATTAAATTTATAACTATCTGCATAATTTAATAATGCAAACTAACAAAATAAAGTTTTAAAATCTTATTGGTCAATTTTTATTACATAGTTCATGATTGCACAATTTAAAAATTTTTTTAAATTTTATAAAATGCTATTGGATATTTCAATTATTTAAATACTTTTTAGTTTAAAGAATGATTACTCTCATCTTTGGTTAAACAAATTACGTAAATTAAAAATCTGCCTTATTATTATTTCTCCTTTTTTGATGCTTTATTATATTATGCAAAAATAATTGAAGAAATGAAAAAATAAACCGTTTAATTATTAGAATTTTCAAGTAAAATAAAATAAATATCAGTGATTTCATAATTCAAACAAAAAAAAGTCATAATTTTAAATTCTCTGGAAACAATTGAATAATTGAAATGTTCAACATTTTTCCACATTAAAGATATATTTTAAAATTAATCAACAAAATTATACATATAATATAATGGTATTTATTCTCTTAATTTAATTTTCTGTTACTTAATAAAAAAAAAATACAAAAAAAAAAAAATTGTCTAGACAATTGGAAATCCAGACAATGAATTATAAGTATGCCAATATTGACTTTAATTGAAAGTTAATAAATAAATTTAAAGCCGAACAGTATGTTCAAAAATTTATCGAAACGATACAGGAAGTAATAATAAATTATTAAAATGGTAAAGAGAATAGAATTCTATTAATTAAAAGAAAAAATTTAATATATTTTTAAAGTATTTGCTCAAGGTACTGGTACAATTATATTTAACTTTACATTTTCTTCAGTAACAAAAAACAATTTTTCAGACAAACCTCTACCTAATAATATATCTGAACTTGTACATGCCTGAATATGTTAAGGATCCAGATCTAAAACACAAAATTACAATACGTTGTAAATCAGGCAAAATGTAATATATATCCACCATTAATGTGCACGATGTGTCCTTTGTGTTCTATCACGTCAGTAATTGAAAGAATGAATTCCATGATCAATCTTATTGCCTATAAAAATAAAGAATTGCAACAACTAAAGAAAGAAATATGGTTAAGAAAAGCAATTCCAGCAATCATTCTAAACACGACTGAAAAAAAGATTGAAAGACCAAGATAAAAACAAGACAATTATGATTATGAGAGAGAAAAAAATATATAACTTTTTTTGCCATCTTTACGCACACGCTTAAGTAGAATAATAAATATTAAACCAAATTCCATTTATTCAGTCATTAAACTTCATTTCTTTAGGGGTTCTGGATGACGGTTGGTTTGTCGTTAGCAAACAGTATATTCCCTCTCTGCACTGAACGAACAATCTCTACACCACTGACGTTCAGAAGACTTTCAAGTCTCTGGCATACAAAAAACTTTTTTCTGACGTGAAGGGAATACTTCTCCGTTCACAGGAATGTTCACTTTTATGTTGCATACCGAAATTTTACTTTTTGTGGGTTAAAAGATATTTTCTTATAGCTCGTGCAACTCCTCACAATACTTGCCAGTTCATCACAATGCTTCCTATACATTTTTTGCAGCACTTTTAACAAACTCTATTTTGCCATTTTTATTTTATTTATTTTATTTTATCATTTTTTTCCTTTCGTTTTTTTATTTGTATAAATTACATTTATCATAAATATCGTGCAGCTTTACTAAATTTGCGTGTACAAAACAGAGATTATTCCTGCGTGAGCTCACCTACATTGTTTACCAAATGAAACTAGGATTTGTCTAATATACGCGTTATGCCACAATTCGTTTAGTTTGATGGCACGATTTTTCAAAATCCCATAGAAAACGATCATTATCTTATTTTTGTTTCGAAGTAATATAGAAAAAATCCTAATTAAATTATTTTTATACGTATTCGTCCAAAGAGTAGGGTTATATGTGTATTCGTTTTCAGTTGATGCTGAATGGCAAAAAAGAGACTTGTTTCTTACATGGAGCTGGAGTGAATATAAATAAGATGAACTGTTTTCCTTTCTTTAAAACACTTTAAAACTTACAATATTCATAATAAAAACGTTAAAAAATTCAGGTCAAGTCCATACATAAAATTTATGTTTAAAAAAGAACTTAATGTATAAAAAATTAACGTAAAAAATAATAAGTGGCTTCTTAAAAAACATTTTAGAAAAGATTAAAAGTCAATTTGTTGTATTTTATCATTAATTTTTTTTTAATCGCTAAGTAAATTAGCGATAAAATTTCACTAACTTTATTTTTACAATATTGAATAGTAAATTATTTAAAAATTGTGTTAAGTCTAGATTTCAAAATTAAGTTTGAAAACACAATATTAAATATCCCAGAGCGAAAAATCCTATCTAAACATTACCAAATAAAGCTATCATTGATTATTAAATTTACTACCGAAGAAAATAAACCACAGTTATATTAAATTTTCGAAGCAAAATCCCATTCTTTCTGTGCAGATTCTATCCATTCCCCAAG